CCCAGCCCCGCTCACGGGGCGCCGGGCCGGGGGAGGGGGGCTCGGGGCGGGGGGTGGGAGGCAGCGGGGGGGGGGGGTGCGGGGTGAGACCCAGCGCTGCTCACGGGGCGCCGGGCCGGGGGAGGGGGGCTCGGGGCGGGGGCGGTGCGGGGTGAGACCCAGCCCCGCTCACAGGGCGCCCGGGGCCGGGGAGAGGGGGGCTCGGGGCGGGGCAGGCGGGGGAGGGCTGCCTGGAGGCGGAGGCCCTGGATTTGTGGTCCCTCCCCCCCATTCTTCCCTTCCTTCCCAGCATGCCCCTCCCCCCTCTCTCTCTCCTCCATTCCACTCTCTCTAGAAATCAATGGGGAGAATTCCCTTGGTGGGGATTTAAGAAATAATAATAATAATTAATAATAAAGCCCTGGCAGGTGTGGCTCAGTGGATAGAGCGTCAGCCTGCGGACGGAAGGGTCCGGCCAAGGGCATGGACCTTGGTGGCGGGCACATCCCCAGTGCAGGAGGCAGCTGATGGATGTTTCTCTCTCATCGATGTTTCTGACTCTCTCTCTCTCTCCCTTATGTGTATATATATATATATTATTGATTTTTTACAGAGAGAAAGGGAAAGGGAAAGAGAGAAACATCGATGAGAGAGAAACATCCATCAGCTGCCTCCTGCACGCCCCCCACTGGGTATGTGCCCGCAACCAAGGTCCATGACATGATGCTCTATCCGCTGAGCCAAACCGGTTTTAGCAATATATATATATATTTAAAAAAAAAAGAAATAATAATAAACATACAAAGGGGGGACCAAGGCCCGGAGCTGGGGGGATTTGCTGTGAGCTGGCTGCCCCTGGCCTGGCCGCCCGCTCCCCGGCGCCCTCACCTGGTGATCTTGAAGAGCCGGAGCAGGCGGATGCAGCGCAGCACGGAGATGCCCAGCGGGCTCATGGCGCCGGCCTGCACCAGCAGCTCCTCCAGCAGCCCGCTGCACACCACGAAGCAGTCGAAGCGGTTGAAGACGGACATGAAGTACTGGCGCAGGCCCAGCCCGCACATCTTCACCAGCATCTCCGCCGCGAACAGGCTCAGCAGCACGCGGTTGGCCACGTCTGGGGGGGTGGGGGGGTACGGCGGGGGCTCAGATCGGCGTCCCCCTCCTTCCCCCGCTCCGCCTCCGAGGGTCCCTACCCCCCCCCCCGCCTCCGAGCCTCTGCCCCGGCGCCCTGCGCCCCCACTCCCTCCCCCAGCACCCAGGGGGCCTGGGGCACCTCTGCCCACGGAAGGACACGGACCCAGCCGGGCCCCCAGGCTCCATGGGTGGAGCATCGACCTGGGAACCAGGAGGCCAGGGCACAGGCCCGGGGGCGGGCTCCATCCCCAGTGCGGGGCGTGCAGGGGGCAGGGGGGTGAGCAGGGGCGCCTCACCCTGCAGGGGGTGAGAGGGGGGTGGGCAGGGGGTGAACAGGGGTGTGAGCAGGGGGTAAGTGGGGGGAGCAGGGGGTGTCTCACCCTGCAGGTGGGTGAGCAGGGGGGTGAGCAGGTGGGTGAGCAGGGGGGTGGGCAGGGGGGTGGGCAGGAGGGTGGGGGGGTGAGCTGGGGGCGCCTCACCCTGCAGGTGGGTCAGCCACGGCGGCTGGTTGTGGTGCTCGGAGGCGATGGACAGGGTGTTGAGCGCCACGATCAGGATCACCAGCCAGTAGAAGGCCCGGGACTTGACCACGTCGTGGCATTTCCAGCGAAAGACACGGACCCACTGCCTCCAGTGCCGGCTGCGGCGGGGGGGGGGGGCGGGGGCGGAGGCCACGTCAGCCAGAGGCCACGTCAGCCACCCCCCCGGGCCGCCCCGCCACGCCGGATCGGACTCCCCCCCCCCCCCCCGCCTCTGGTCATGGCAGTGGGGGAGCCGGCTGGCCTGCAATCTCAGGTCTTTTTTTCTTTTTTCTTTTTTAAAATATATTTTATCGATTGTTTACAGAGAGGAAGGGAGAGGGATAGAGAGTTAGAAACATGGATGAGAGAGAAGCATCCATCAGCCGCCTCCTGCACATCCCGAACTGGAGATGTGCCCGCAGCCAAGGTACACGCCCTTGACCGGAATCGAACCCGGGACCTTTCAGACCACAGGCCGACGCTCTATCCACTGAGCCACACCAGGATACAGGGCTGGGAGGAGCCTGAGGATGGGAGGAGCCGGGGAGATGGGAGGAAGGGGGATGGGAGGAGCCTGAGGATGGGAGGAGCCAGGGGATGGGAGGAGCCGGGGGGATGGGAGGAGGAGGGATGGGAGGAGCCGGAGGATGGGAGGAGGGGGGATGGGAGGAGCTGGGGGGCAGGGAGGAGGAGGGATGGGAGGAGCCTGAGGATGGGAGGAGCCGGGGGGGCGGGAAGGGGGGGCTGGGAGGAGACTCACACGAACTGGATGACCTTGTTGAGGCCCTCGATCTCATACAGACTCTCCGTGTCCGAGCCGCCTTCCTCCAAGGACAGCCTCCCTGGACGGGAGAGGGTCCGAGTCCGGTCTCCGGGCTGGACCTCAGACTGGGCTCCCCTCTTCCCCAGGGCGGCCTCCCAGGACCCGAGGGGGGGGCCGCTCCTCCCGCCTCCGGGTGCGGGGTCCGGGGGTGTGTGTGGGCGGTGCTCCCTGTGGGGCCGCGGGGGGGGGCCTGGGCCGCACCCTCTCGCAGGTCCTCCGCGTCCATGACCTCGCCCTGCGTGATCCAGCTCATGTAGCCCCGCAGGTCCTCGTCCAGCTGCTGCTTCTCCCGCAGCTTCTGGAACGTTCCCCGGGACTTGGCCTTCTCGCGCTCCTTGGTGAACTCCCTGCGGGGGGAGGGAGAGGGGGAGGATGGGAGGAGGGTGGGAGGGGAGGAGGGAGGAGGGGAGGAGGGAGGAGGAGGAGGGAGGAGAAGGGAGGAGGGAGGAGGTGTGCACCCCGGCACAGAGTGGGTAGGTCAGTGGGCGGAGTCATAGGCCAGCAGGCACCAGAGGCCGGGACCTCCTCCTCCTCCTTATCCTCCTTATCCTCTCCCTCTGTCCTTCCTCCTCCTCCTGCCTCCTCCTCCTCCTCCCCCTCCTCCTCCTCCTCCTCCCCCCCCCCCTCCTCCTCCCCCTCCCCGCCCCCTCCTCACCCGCTCAGCACGCCCAGCACCAGGTTGAGGATGAAGAAGGAGCCCAGCAGGATGAGGGTGACGAAGTAGATCCAGGGCCACTCGTTGCCGATGGCGTCGTTGACCTGAGGGACCAAGGCGGGGGGACAGATGGGGTCTCACCCCCGGACCTGAGCAGCCCAGCCCCCGCACCCGGGGATGGGGAGGGAGCCCGGGGGCGGGGAGGGAGCCGGGGAGGGCCAGGAGGGACAGGGAGAGAGGCTGGGGGCCGCGGGAGGCCGGGGAGGGAGGCGGGGAGGGCGCCAGGAGGCTGGGAGGGACAGGGAGAGAGGCTGGGGGCCGCGGGGGGCCGGGGAGGGAGCCGGGGGGGCGCCAGGAGGCTGGGAGGGAGGGGAGGGAGGCGGGGCCGCACCCAGTACAGCACGTCGGTCCAGCCCTCCATGGTGATGCACTGGTACACGGTGAGCATGGAGAAGCCGAAGTTGTCAAAGTGGGTGATGCCGTGGTTGGGCCCCGGCCAGCCGCCCCGGCACTCGCTGCCGTTGATGGTGCAGGGGCGGCCCGAGCCGGTGCGGGCGCAGGGCGACGGCTTCTCGTTCTCCTCCGTGGCCACCACGTCTGCAGGCGGCGCATGCGCCACGGGCCACAGGCCACGGACCACGGACCACGAACCACGGAACAGGGGCCACGGGCCACGGGCCACGGCAGGTGGGAGGCGGGGGCGAGGGGGAGAAACGCCGTTAAAATGGCTGTGTGACTGCCCGGCCGGCGTGGCCCAGGGGCTGAGCATCGACCTATGAACCTGGGGTCAGGGTCGCTCCTCAGAGGGGAGGCCCTGGGGCCCCGGCCCCGGCCCCGGCCCCGGCCGAGCTGTCCTCCCTCCGGGCCCTGGTCCCGGACAGACCTTCCCCACGGCTCACGGGCTCCGTAACTGCGGGCCAGTCACCGAGCCTCAGTTTCTCTGCCTGTGAAATGGGAGCAATGCCTTCCATCGCAGGGCGATTCCCTGGGTCCGCTCTCTCTAAAAATCAATGCCCTCACTGGTGTGGCTCAGTGGATAGAGCGCCAGCCTGAGGACTGAAGGGTCCTGGGTTCGATTCCGGTCAAGGGCATGGACCTTGGCTGTGGGCAGCGGGCACATCCCCAGTGGGGGGCGTGCAGGAGGCAGCCGATCCATGGTTCTCTTTCCTCATGGATGTTCCTGTCTCTCTCTCCCTCTCCCTCCGTCTCTGAATTCCATAAAAATATATTTTTAAATAAACGGGAAGAAGCCCCAAGAGTGAGGTTGCATGTCCTAAGGGCCGTGGTCGGCAAACTGCGGCTCGCGAGCCACAGGCTGCTCTTTGGCCCCTGAGTGTGGCTCTTCCACAAAACACCACGGGGATGGAGCCTGCAACCCAGGCAGGTGGCCTGCCCGGGAATCGAACCCTGCCCTTCTGGGTCCTAGGTGGACGCTCAGCCACGGAGCCACGCCGGCGGCTCCTGTGGGGTCTTCATGGCAGGCGGGCGGCTCCCCCTGATCCCGGTCCCCCCCTCCCCCGCCCGGCCGGGGCTGACCCGTGGGCGGCTCCCCTGAGCTGTCCCGCCCCCCGGCCGGGGCTGACCGGTGGGCGGCTCCCCTGAGCTCTCCCGCCCCCGGCCGGGGCTGACCGGTGCCGGTGTAGTAGCAGGTCTTGTGCATCTTGCCCTTGAAGAGCTCCAGGCCGATGATGGCGTAGATGGTGACCATGAAGAGGACGAGCAGTGCGATGTGGAGCAGCGGCAGCATGGCCTTGAAGATGGAGTTGAGCACCACCTGCAGGCCTGGGGGGAGGGGCGCGCAGGGCGAGGGTCAGCCCCCCCAGCCCCGCGCCCCGGGGCCCTCCCGGCCACCCAGGGAGGGTCAGCCCCCCCAGCCCTGCACCCCGGGGCCCTCCCGGCCACCCAGGGAGGGTCAGCCCCCCCAGCCCCGCGCCCCGGGGCCCTCCCGGCCACCCAGGGAGGGGGGACCCGGCCCCGGGCGGGGACAGGCTGGGGTGCGGGAGGGGATCTGGGGGGACAGGGATGGGGCCACCCAGGGAGGAGGGGGTCAGGCTGGGGCGGGGAGGGGCCCGGGGGGGCGGGGCCACCCACTGGGCACCCCCGACACCAGCCGCAGGGGGCGCAGCACGCGGAAGGCCCGCAGCGCCTTGACGTCCAGCCCGGCGCCCTTGCTGCTCAGCGGCGCCGTGTTGCTCTGGATGAGGTTCACCTGCTCCAGCGTCACCGTGAACACCCTGGGGGGGGCGGGGTCAGGGGCCTGTGTGCCGGGCGCAGGCCCCTCGGACCCCCCCCCGCCCCCAGGCCGCACCCCCGCCCCCCCCCCCGCTTCCCCCCGCCCCCCCTCACCCCAGGAAGACGATGATGAAGTCCAGCACGTTCCAGCCGCTGCGCAGGTAGGCGTCCGGGTGGCAGGCGAAGCCGTAGGCGATGATCTTCATGGCGGCCTCGACGGAGAAGACGATGAGGAAGAAGTACTCCAGCTTCTCCTGCGGGGGGCGTCTCCTCTGAGCCCCCTGCCCTGCCCCCCTCGGCACACGCCCCCCCTGCCCCTCCCTCCGGCACACACCTCCCACACACCCCCCACCCCGCACCCTGCCCCTCCCTCCGGGCACACGGCTCCCCCCTGCCCTTCCCTCCGGGCACACGCCTCCCCCCTGCCCTTCCCTCCGGGCACATGGCTCCCCCCTGCCCTTCCCTCCGGGCACACGCCTCCCCCCTGCCCTTCCCTCCGGGCACACGGCCCCCCGAGGCTCGGGACCTCGGCCCCCGCCTGAATTCCCTCGCCCACCACCACCGCCCCCACCTCGCGGCCCGCGGGCCTGCCCTGGGCGTCAGCCCTCCCTGAGGCCTGTGCTCGCATCCACGTCTTTCTCTCTGTCCGCAAGGACCCCTCACCACAGTCAATCCCCAGGCCTGTGTCTATCCTGTTTTGTTTTTCTAAAAAAAATATATATATATTTCATTCATTTTTTCACAGAGAGGCAGGGAGAGGGAGAGAGAGCCAGAAACATGGAGGAAAGAGAAACATTCATCAGCCGCCTCCTGCACGCCCGCCACTGGGGATGTGCCCGCCACCAAGGTCTGTGCCCTTGACCGGGATCGAACCCGGGACCCTTCAGTCCGCAGGCCGATGCTCTGTCCACTGAGCCACGCCGGTCAGGGCGGTTTCTGTCCTGTTGGCCTTCCATCCTACCCACTGAACCACCAGCTCTGTGAAGTGTGGGGACTGTCCTTTTAAAAAAAAAAAATTTTTTTTTTAAATTTTTAAAAAATTCTTCTTCCGCCCCAGCCCAGGATTGCGTGAATACGTGGGCCGTCCGGAGCCGGGGGACGGGGAGCGTCCGGCCGCGGGCCCTAGGCGGCCGTGAAACCATGTGGTCTGGTTGCCGAGGTGCGAGGGGTGAGCTCATGACGTGGTTGACCACCCTCAGCGTGGCTCCGTGGGGGAGCGTGGACCTGTGGACCAGGAGGTCCGGGTTCGGTTCCCGGTCCGGGCACAGGCCCGGGTGGCGGGCTCCGTCCCCGGTGTGGGGCGTGCAGGAGGCCGCTGTTCCGTGATTCCCTCTCTCATCACGGATGTGTCTCTCGCCCTCTCCCTGCCTCTCGGACATCAATACGAACATATTCATTATTAATAATCAAAGAGCTTTCTTAACAAAGCAAAGAAAAGGTGGAGTGATGGTGGGGACACGGCCCCAGAATCCTCCCAGCGTGCTGTTCAGAGACTTTTCCCGAAAGGGGGGTTGGGGTGGGGATGGGGGGGCTGCTGTCCCGGCCGGCCGCCCACGGTGTGGGGCGCCTCGGCCCAGCGCCTGGAAGATGAGCCGAGGGGGATGAGGCAGCGGCTATATTTGGCCCCGTGAGCTCTGGCCCCAAAGCCGAGGCCTGAGCAGCTGAGCCCTGCCTCCCCGCCCCCCTGCCCCCCCCAGGCCTGGGCTGGGGCCTCAGCGGGGGGCAGGGGGGGCTGGGGCCTCAGCGGGGGGCGGGGAGGGCTGGGGACGCAGCGGGGGGGCAGGGGGGGCTGGACCGTCCCCGGGCCCCTCTGAGCACAGGGGGTCAGGGGTGGGCGCTCGGGGACAGAACAGCCTGGAGCTGGACACTGGGGTCCTCACACAGATGGGGGCCGGAGGCCGGGCCGGGGCCGGGCGGGAGGGTGCTGCCGCAGGAGGCCAGCACGGAGGCGGAGGGCACAGGGGGCGGGTGCTGGGTGTCCCTGTCCACGCTCCGTGGGTGAGGGTGGGGGGGATGGGACAAGCACTGGTGTCCCTGGGGGAGCGGGCGGTGCAGGGGGGCTTCGGGCCACTTAGCCAGGACTCTGGTCGGAAGCCCTGTCCCCCCTCCTGCCCCCCACAGGTCCTGGCTCCTGGCCGGGCCTTCCGAGGGAGCCGGGAGCCGCGCCGCCTGGCACATTCCTGACCCTATAAAAAGGCAGCAACCTGAGCCCAGCAAGGCCCCGGGGCTGGGCCAGGGGCGGGGCCACGGTGAGGCCGGGAGGGCCACCCCCCACACTGGGCAGTACTGACCACCGTTAGCAAAACTCATCCAGCCCGGCCGGCGTGGCTCCGTGGCTGAGTGTCCACCTCGGAGCCAGGAGGTCAGGGTTCGATTCCTGGTCAGGGCACAAGCCCGGGGTGTGGGTTCGATCCCCAGTGGGGGGCGTGCAGGAGGCAGCTGGTCCATGATTCCCTCTCCTCGTGGATGTTTCTCTCTGTCCCCGTCTGCCTTCCCCTCTGAAATCTATCTATCTATCATCTATCTATCTATCATCTATCTATCTATCTATCTATCTATCTATCTATCTATCATCTATCTATCTATCATCTATCTATCTATCATCTATCTATCTCTCTATATAAAGTGGTCTTTTTTTTAAAAAGATTTATATGAGTCTCTGGCTGTGGGTGAGTGTGTCCTTCAGTTACACCTGTTTTCTCTCCCCTAATCCATGGGGAGGAAGTGGAGGAGGTGGGCCGTCCCTCCAGCTGTGTGTTGTTCTATCACAGTTACAGGCAGGGGGGGGAGGAGAAAGGGGTGCAGGACCCCGAAAGGCCCTCCGCTGTCCGTCCTCAGCGGGAGAGGGCTCTGCTCTCCTGATTCTATCCGGAGGGGACGCGGGCACGCAGCCGCCGAGCCTCAGTTTCCGCATCTGTGAAATGGGACTTCTCCGCGGGGCTGGGCATGGTGCGCCCTCTGGAGGGGCGGGCTGGCCACATCACCGAATCCAGGGGAGCGGCCGGCCGGGGGCAGAGGGCCTGCAGGTGGTTTGGGGCGCCCTGTCCTTGGGGGCCCCCCCCGGCCCGGCACAGGCCCAGGGCGGGGGCGGGGGCGGGGGGCGGGGGCGGGCCGCTCACCAGGCCGACGTTCAGGCTGTTGTTGTCGTCCTCGGGCATGGGCAGGTACACGGCCAGGGCCACGCAGTTGGCGAAGATGGTCAGCAGGATGATGGTCTCGAAGGGTCTGGGGCCAGGGTTAAGGAGAGCTTTCCGAGGGAGGCGTGGATTTTCGGGGTGAAGGGTCAGAGGGCGCCGAGGCCCCGCACACACCCCCGCCCACCCCCGCAGGTGGAGGGGGGCCTGGTCCCGGGTCTCGGGGAGCAGGGAGCTCACTTTGGGCCCCGAGGCACCTCAGCTCTGAGGGAGCCTGTGGGCTCCTCTCGCAGCCTCCGCCCCCCACCCCCCTGCCCTCTCCCTGGAGCTTCTGCCGGACCACAGAGCAGGGGAGGGCTCCCCCGGAGAAAGGGGGCGGATGGGGGGCAGGCCGGGTGCCTGCTGAGCCCCCGGGCCAGAAAAGGGGGTGGTGGGCCGGCGACCCCTGAGCCTCGGAGCCTGAGGAAGGAGGGGCTGACCAGCCCCTGGACCGGCACCCCCATATCCTCTCATCCCCCCAGACATGTCTCCCAGAGGCAGCCCAGGCCGGGCCAGTGTGGGGCGTCCACCTGTGAACCAGGAGGTCAGGGTTCGATTCCAGTCAGGGCACAGGCCCGGGTGCGAGCTCCATCCCCAGCAGGGGGCGTGCAAGAGGCAGCTGGTCAGGGATTCTCTCTCGTTGGTGTTTCTGTTTCTCTATTCCTCTCCCTTCCTCGTTCTCCAAAATAAATCAATAAAAACACATTTTTTAAAAAATTTATTTTAGCCAAAGCCGGTTTGGCTCCGTGGAGTTCCTAACTCTATCTCTCTCCCTTCCTCTCTGTAAAATGTCTATAAAATATATTTTTTTAAAAAAATTTTTAAGAGAAAGAGGGAGGGGGTGGCACCCCGTTCCCCAGAGGCTGCAGGTGCAGAGCTGGGAGAGAGGCCCCCCGCCAGGAGGGGGGGAGACCCCCCATCACACCTGACCAGACCCGGGGACCGGATGGGGGACTGGATGGGGGGTCCGGGTGGGGGACCGGGTGGGGGGACTGGATGGGGGACCGGATGGGGGACCGGATGGGGGGACTGGATGGGGGACTGGATGGGGGACCGGATGGGGGGACTGGATGGGGGACTGGATGGGGGACCGGATGGGGTACGGGGTGGGGGGACTGGATGGGGTGCGAGCAGCTGTGGGGGCAGGGCTGGCCCTGACCTGGGCCCAAGGTTCCCGAGTCTGCCTCTTCGCCCTCCTCCCCCCACCCCCAACCCACCCGGAACAGCTGGCCGGAGCCCCGCTCCCAAGCCCTTCAGAAACATCTCAAATATTCCCGACCCTCCCTGACGGTCCTCTCCACCTCCTCCCTCCTCCTCCCTCCCTGACGGTCCTCTCTGCCTCCTCCCTCCTCCCTCCCTCCTCCTCCCTCCCTGACGGTCCTCTCCACCTCCTCCCTCCTCTCTCCCTCCTCCCTCCCCCCAAAACACCCAGACACCCCTCGCTCTCCCTCCCGGAACCCACGCCACACGACAGGGGCCTCCAGCGCCCACCCCCAGCCCAGGTGGGGTGCCGGCCTGTGCCTGGCCGCCCGGTCCCCACCCCCCACCCCACCCCCAGCAGTGGGTCCTCCTCAGCTCCTCTCTCTCCTTCCCCCGTCCCCCCCTCTCCCCCTCCCATCGAGGGGAAGGATTCCCTGCAGCCCCCCCATCCTCACTCAGAAAGGGGGCTGCTGCTTCAGAAACCTAAGGGGGGCCCCGGGCAATGTGGACAGCAGCCCCCGAGCGCCCCGCCTGCCACGGGCGGCCAGGGGGCACCTGGCCTTCACCACCCCCCCATCTTCCTCCCCCACCCTGTCCCACCCCCCACCGCTGCGGCCTCCATCCCAGAGGCCCCCCGGGGACAGCCCCCCATCTCCGGCCCCGGTGGCCCCCGGGAACAGCCCCCCCATCTCCGGCCCCGGTGGTCCCCCAGGAACAGCCCCCCATCTCCGGCCCTGGTGGTCCCCGGGAACAGCCCCCCATCTCCGGCCCCGTGGCCCCCGGGGACAGCCCCCCCATCTCCAGCCTGGTGGCCCCCGGGGAAAGCCCCCCCATCTCCGGCCCCGTGGCCCCCGGGGACAGCCCCCCATCCCCGGCCCAGTGGCCCCTGGGAACAGCCCCCCCCATCTCCGGCCCCGGTGGTCCCCGGGGACAGCCCCCCATCTCCGGCCCCGGTGGCCCCCGGGGACAGCCCCCCCATCTCCAGCCTGGTGGCCCCCGGGGAAAGCCCCCCCATCTCCGGCCCCGTGGCCCCCGGGGACAGCCCCCCCATCTCCAGCCTGGTGGCCCCCGGGGACAGCCCCCCATCTCCGGCCCCGTGGCCCCCGGGGACAGCCCCCCATCTCCGGCCCCGTGGCCCCCCTCCCGGGGCCCTGCGTCCGCCCGGCCGCCCGCCAGGATACTTCCACTCGACGATGCTGATGCAGGCCTTGCGCAGCGGGTTGTCCAGCGTGAGGCACAGCAGGGCCCGGGGCGGCCGCGGCAGCACCTCGGGGGCCGGCTTCTTGGGCTGCTTCTTCCTCTGGCCCTCGTCCTGGGGGGCGGCCGGCTCCATGGTCCCCGCGGCGACGGGCTGTCCGTCCGGCTCCCCGCGCCCGCGCCCTCTGCGCCCCGCGTCCCCGGTGCCCTCGCCCGGCTGGGCCTGGCCGAGGGACTGGCCGAGGGCCTGGCCGAGGGACTGGCCGAGGGACTGGCAGGCGCACAGGGCCGGGCGCCGGCGAGCAGGGTGGGGCTGCTCCCGGGAGTAAAATTAGCCCTGAGCCAGGCAGCTGTCACCCTCCCTGCCCCGGAGGCTGGGGGCGGGGAGCTGAGGGCCGGCCGGCGGGCAGGGGGGACGGGATGGAGGGTCCAGGCAGCCAGATCTCAGGAAGGGGAGACCCCGATACAGAGCCCCCCCCCAGACAGACTGGCTCCCTGCTCCCTGCCCAGGAACACCCCCTCCTCGGGGAAGGGAACCTCCGTGGGCAGGTGGGCAGCTCCCAGACAACCTGGGTGGAGCCCCCCTCGGCACAGCCTCAGCCGCACCCCGGGGTGCCCTCCGATCGGTGCCCCCTCCCCTCTGACTGTGGGAGGGTTGAGGGCTCTCTCTCCGGGACTCCGCCCCCCCCAGCCCTGTCCCTGGGGGAGGGGGTGTGCTCAGCTCCCTGCAAAGGGGCGGAGAGCACCCACACCCCATACCCCGCACCCCGCACCCCACACCCCACTCCCCACACCCTGCACCTCACACCCCGCACCCCGCACCCCACTCCCCACAGCCCATACCCCGCACCCCACCACGGCGGGGGAAGGAGAGACACAGAGCACACGAGGGCAGACTGCGGCCCAGGCATCAAAGCTCAGCGCGTATTTTATTTCATCCTTCGGTGCCAGCGGCGCCCACATGCCCCCTGGGTGCCCGGCCAGAGGCCGGCCCGCGGCTGCGGGGATCAGTCCTCACCAGCGGGGCGCAGAGGCAGGAGGCGGCCGGGCTGGGGGTGGAGGCCGGAGGGCGCCGCGCGCGCGCGTGCGGGTGTGTGTGTGTATGTGTGTGCATGTGCATGCATGCATGTAGGTGTGTGTGTATATGTGTGTGTGCACGCGCGCACCAGCTCCCATGGGCGCGGGGTTGGACGCCACCTGGTGGCGAGCGGGACAGGCGCATCCGAACTGACTGGCCTCCTGGGCCCCGCGGATCGGAGCTGTGCCCGTGCCCAGAGGGCAGCGCAGAGCACCGGGCCGCGCGCACCCCGGAGCCGGGCCCAGTCCTCCGGAGACGGTCCAGGGCGCCTCCCGCGGGCGATGCCTGCTCCTCAGTCCGGTTGGCCCCTCGCACCCACCCGCTCGGCTGGCACCCAGAGGCGGGCGGGGCGGGAGAGGGGGTCTTGGACACCGGGACCCGCGGTCACTGGCCGGAGTCCCCGGGCTCCGGGCCCGGCGGGGCGTCGCACGGGGACTCGGGGCGCGGGGGCGCGGGGCGCGGGGGGCCGGGCCGGGCGCCGTCGGGCTCGGACCCCGGGGGCGCGGCGCGCAGCAGCTCCTGCAGGTGCCGGATGTAGCGGGCGGCGGCGCGCAGCGTCTCCACTTTGCTGAGCCGCCGCCCGGCCGGCGCGCGCGGCAGGTGCCCGCGGAGGCGCGCGAAGCCCTGGTTGACGCAGCGCACGCGGTGCCGCTCGCGCTCGTTGCGCTTGAGGACGAGGCCGGGCTGCGGGGCGCCGGGCGGGCAGGCGGGCGCGCAGGGCGGCGGGCGGGCGCCGGGCACGGGACCCGGGAGCAGCAGGAGGGGCAGGGCGCCCGGGGGCCCCGCGGGCAGCGGCCGGTGTCCGCGGTCCAGGCCGCCGCCGGGGGGCGCCGCGGGGCCCCGCTGCACCAGCGCCCGGCAGGCGTGGCCGTTCGGGGCCCGGTGTCCGCGGTCCATGGCGCCGCCGGGGGGCGCTGCGCCCGGGGCCGGACCCGCCCCGCGCCCGCCGCGCCCGGGCTCCGCGCGCCCCCACGGCGGGGCCGGGCCACAGGCCCAGAGGCCGCCGCGGGGCTCCAGGGCGGTCAGGGGTGCGCGCGCCCCGGGGCGCCGGCCGCCGTCCCGCTAAGGGGGCGCCATCGCCGCGGGCCGGGGCGCCTCGGGGCGGGGACCCAGCCCGGGCCGCACCCTCCTCCTCCGCGGGGCGTGGGCACCCGAGGGCGCCTCCCGGGGGCGCGAACCCGGGGCCCGGGCCGGGCCTGGCTCCTCGCTGGTCCTCTGGGCGCGTTGGGGACCCCCGGCCGCTCGGGGCGCCGGGCACCGGCCGCGATGGCTGCGCGCAGAGGATCCTGCGGGGGAGGAGGACAGACACACGGACACGGGGTCAGGCGAGGCCCCCGCGATGACGGCCGGGTCACCCCGCCTCCCGTGGGGTGTCCCAGGCTTTGTAAGGGGGGGGGGTACCGGCCCTGCAGCCCCCCCAGGGGCGCGAGGACCCCTCGCCGCGGAAATTCAGTGCCGCCCGGCCGTGTGGCCCAGTGGTTGGCGTCGACCTAGGAACCAGGAGGTCAGGGTACAGGCCCGGTTTGGGGCTCCATCCTCATGGGGAGGGGGTGTGTGCAGGAGGCAGAGGGTCCATGCTTATCATTGATGCGTCTATCTCTCCCTCCCTCTCCCTTCCTCTCTGAGATCAATAATATATATATTTTTATTTTTTTTAATATTTTATTGATTTTGTACAGAGAGGAAGAGAGAAGGATAGAGAACTAGAAACATCAATGAGAGAGAGTCATAGATCAGCTGCCTCCTGCACACCCCCCACTGGGGATATGCCCACAACCAAGGTACATGCCCTTGACCGGAATCGAACCCGGAACCTTTCAGTCCCCAAGCTGATGCTCTATCCATTGAGCCAAACCGGTTTCGGCGTATATATATATTTTTAAGAATAGTAAATCCTGATTCCGGTGGGAGGGATTCCTGTGGGTAGTTGAGCTTTGGCTCTGGTGGTGGGGGGCGGCCCTGGGAGCCCGACGAGGAGCCCCCTTGCCTCAGAGGTGGGACCCTCCCCCCAAAAAAGCCTGGCGGGACCTAGTCCATCCCCAGGTCCACGGACCGGGCAGAACCGGTGGCCAACAGCGCCCCCGTGTGTCCGCGAGGAGCAACGGCAGCAGGTGAATGGGATTCCAGGTCCAGGAGAGGTGCGTGGAGGTTTGAACTCCGCGTTCCAACTGCCCGTGGGGGCCCCCGTCTTCGGGGACACGGAGGGAGCTTGCCAGCCAGGCGGGGCCGCCTCGGGAAGCGCCCCAAGGGGCACAGCGCGGACGCCCACGCCCAGCGGCTGCCCACGTCCCCCTGTCCAGGGCGAAGTCTATGGGGAAATTCCACACTCCAACTCCCGTCCATCATCCTGTGCACCCCACTCCCTTCCCCCCAAAGCCCCCGCCTCCCCAACCCCCTGAGGCCTGGGCTCCCAGGACCAGCTCGAAGCTGAGAGCAAAGGGCCGGTCAGTGCTTTCCTGCCTGATGCCCAAGCCACGGACCGGACAGTCCCCCCCACCCACCCCTGCACGCCCGCTCCTGTCCGGGCACCCCTGGCGGGTGTCCACCCGGAAAAGGTGCTTCCGTCTCCGGGGTATCGGACCGGCCCACGGGCATCGCCCTCTGCCGCCCGGCTCCCCCTCCCCGGCCTGGGCTCCCTCTGGTGGCCGAGCCCCTGCCAGTGCGTTCTTGGCCCCGCGTCCGTCCCGTCCCGGCCTGGCCTCCTGCGTGCCGTTACCTCCCGGGCTGGCTCCTCCGGTGCTCGGTGGGGACTCCGGGCGGGGACCGCGGGGCGCCCGCCCGCCTGGCCGGCTCCAGCAGCCTCTGCCCGCGTCCCCCGCAGCCCAGGACCAGGTAGCTCTACCTGCGGAGCTTCAAAGGGACACACCCAGGAGGGGAGGGCGGAGGGCAGGGGGCTTCTCTGATCTGGGACCCGCCCCGGCCGCTCCCGGCCTCCTGATTGGCTGCCTGCGGAGTGCCCAGGAGGGATGGCCCCGGAGGAGAAGGTGCGGGGTGGAGCCGAGGGGGTGCCCCGGGTGTGCGGGCAGGAACACGGGGGTCTCTCGTGGGGGAACCCCAGGTTAGGGAGCCCCTCCGAGAGGCTCCGATGGCACCGGCCGGGGTGTTGGGAGCTGGGAGTGACCCCTGGATGCTCCCGGCTGGACTTGGGACCAGGAGGCTGCAGCGTGGGGTCCCCTAAGCGTCTGGTCTGCACCCCGTGACCCCATGGGGAGCCTGGGACGGAGGCAGCAGCCAGAGGTGGTCTCTAGAGAGACCCAAACCAGCCACGGTCCAGTCCTCCCAGCGTGCCGGCCCAGCGAGGGCACTGAGTGCTTGGCTAAGGTTTTCTCCTAAAGAAGTGTATTATTGATGTCAGAGAGGAAGGAGAGAGAACAGAAACACCAGTGATGAGAGAGAATCCGGGACCGCCTGCCTCCTGCACGCCCCCTACTGGTGACCGAGCCTGCAACCCGGGCCTGTGCCCTGATGAGAATTGAACCATGACCACCTGGTTCACAGGTCGATGCTCCACCACGGAGCCACCCCGCCTGGCAGACTAGTCTTCACTGTACACACGAATACCCATCAGGCCTTGCCACACAAATACCCATCAGGCCTTGCAGCTAACGACACAGGTTTTCCCCATGTCCGCTCAGACAGGTGCACGCCGTTAGAGCTACCGTGCTACTCTGGGCTCCGCCCCACGCCGCCTGCAGGTGCGAGCCCAGCTGAGTTTAATCTCCTCTCTCGGTTGGGAGAAACTGAGGCATGGGGAGGGAGCCTGCTGCTCCAGGTCACTCAGTGGGCCAGGTGGGACCAGGGCTCCTAACTCGCAGCTAGAGCCCTACCCTCGATGTCCACCCTGATCAAGGAGCTCGGCACCCCCAGCCAGCTCAGCTCCGTGCCTGGGGACGCCAGGGGCCGAGGGTGCCCTGTACCATCACCCTCCCCATCCTGGACACCACAGGGGGCCCGCCTGGCTGAGCACCCATCTCTAGGGCGCTCGGAGGGGGAAGTGGAGGGGCCCTCAGGGTGAGCGCAGGAGGGTCCCCGCGGCCTGAGGGGGTGAGCTGGGTCTGTGAGCGGCAGGAAGTCAGGCTGCTCCTGTGACAGCGTCGCCGTGGCAACGGGATGCAGGGCCCGGGAGCATCCAGAGCAGCTCTGGAGGGCCAGCAGGTGTCTGTGTGCGGCTCACGCAGGGAGCTGTCCTCTGGTCTCCCCACGTGGACCTCCTGCCACCCCCCTTCCCCACGTCTCGTTGTCAGAGGCCTCAGTGTGGAGCCCCACCATCGACTCCGCACCCTCAGGCTGGGTCCCTCGCCGGCTGGGGGCCAACCCGTCTCTGCTCCCCTTCAGCGTTTGCTCCTCCTGGCGAATCTCCCCGACGGAGCCCTCATTCGCCAGGGGCCCCCCACCCCGGGCTCCACACTCAGAGCTGCAGGGGGCTGTCCCGGGCGTACGGACACAGGCTCTCAGGTGGTCCCGAGCCCCCCGACCCCTCCCCCCAGAGGACAGACCGGTGAGCGGCGTCTGCCTGCAGGCTCGCCTGGCGGCCTCGCCGACCCCGAGGCGCGTCCCCGCCTGGCCCTCCTCGGACCTCGCTCAGGCCCTTTCTACCCTGGACCGGCACTCACCGGGCACACGTCACACACAGTCACATCGAGGGAGGAGAAGTTTAATGGCGGCTTCCGGACCGACAGGCCGCGGCGACCGGGGCCCTGCAGCTAGGGGCCCGGGGTTGGGGCCGAGGACGGGGCTGGTGCTCAGAGCCTCTTGTGTCCCTGGAGCCCCACCCCAACCCCCCAAATCCTGAAGAGGAGCCTGTGAGGGCCGGCCCCAGGCCCCGAGCACAGCCCTGCCTACTCCTGGGCGAGGGCCCAGGGGAGGGAGCCGGGCCTCCGGAGGGCGCTGCGGGCACCACGCGTCCCCACAGGGAGTGGCAGGGGCCTGGCTCTGCCTCCCGGGACGCGAGGACATTCAGACTTTTGGGGCTGAAAACGTGGCCCCTGAAACAACCCCTTCCCGCCCCCCCCGCCCCCTCCCGGGACCCTGGAGGCCGGGGCCCCACGCTCCCCGGTTACACCAACGGGAACGTGGCCACAGAGACCAGGACGCCCCGGTGCTGCCGTGGGGCTGGCCCGGGAGGGGCCACAGGGCGGGGGCGGCGTGGCCGTGGCTGGTCCCGTGGCTGGTCCCCGGCGGAGGCCGGCCGGCCGCCTAGCTGAGCATCTTGTGCCGGTCGAACACCGTCTTCCTCTGCTCCTGCACCTGCAGCTTCCAGCGCTGCTGCGCCCCCTCCACGCGCTCCAGCACCGTGTTGGCCCGGGCGCCGCCCAGCGAGGCCACGGCGGCAGCCACGGAGCGGGCGTCCTGCGGGGAGGAAGGGGAGAGGGGGGTTCGGAAGCCACCCCGAGGTCTGGGCCCCCGGGGCAGGCCCACCTCCCCACGGTCGTGGTCCCCGTGGAGCCCGGCCTGCCGGTGCGACCCCCCAGGTGTGGAGTCTACAGGACGACCCCTGATCCCTGCCCCCCGCGGAGCCTGGGCCCCTTATTTATTTATTTTACATATTTTTATTGATCTCAGAGAGGAAGGGAGAGAGAGAAACATCCATGACGAGAGAGAATCACCCATTGGCTGCCTCCTGCACACCCCACACTGGGTATCAAACTGCAACCCGGCATGTGCCCTGGACCAGAATCGAACCTGGGACCCTTGGTTTGCAGGCTGACGCTCTATCCACTGAGCCACACCGGCCAGGGCTGGGCCCCCACAGGAGAGGCTGTGGGTGGGAGGAGGGGTGCAGAGGGTCCCCCGTGGGGGCTGCTGGGTGGACGTGATGCCACGCAGGGCAGGGGGCAGGGGGCAGGAATGGGACCCCGAGCTGGACCCGCCTCCCGGTCCGGAGCCCCGGTCCCTGCTCCTGGGACAGAGGAGCCCCTGTCCCGCCCGAAGGGACCCGTCCCCGTGCTCCCGGGCCCCCTCCTGTCCTCAGAGGCACATCCGCCCTAATTACCACCTCGCCGGCTGACGCCCCTCACTTCCTGCGGCCGAGCTGATCTCGGGGGAATTAGAGCCGAGCCCCCCCCCCCCCCGCGGGGATTTCCTCCCCGCCCTCGGCCCTCTCATCTCCTGCCACCGGCTCGGGGGGGATTAGCACGGCTCCCGGCCCAGAGCGCCCGGCGAGCGCCCGCTGGCACGGCTTCTGTCTCCACGCAGCTGCCAGGCGGGGAGAGGGCGGGGAGAGGGGGTGCCCGGGGGAGCGTGGGGGGCGGGGAGCGGGCAGCGGCAGAGGGGCCCGGGGAGGGGGGAGGCTGGGAGGTGCTCCCTGCCCCGCAGGGCTGGCCACGCACCCTGTGGGCACTGCCCGGTGGGCGCTCGCCGCCCGGTGCCACGGGCGGGCCTTGGTGTGGCTGTCTGGGCGAGGTGGGCGCTGAGGCTGGCCTGGGGCGCTGTGGGCACCAGGACCTTGCCGCCCCCTGTGAGGCCTCAGGGCCTCCCTCCGCACCCCTTCCCCCCACCCCAACTCATCCCTTCTGGGGGAGCCCCGAGGGGCTGGGGGCAGGGGAGGCTCAGCTTGCGGCTCCTTCTGCCCGGGAGGGGGTGGGGGCCCGGGCAGCCCATCGGGGAGCATGCCCCCCCCCCCCACGGGGCTAACGGTCCGGCTGGAGGCATTAAGGCTCCATGGCGGTGTCCCAGACTCCCAGCCCGGGCCTTGGCCTCCCGGGCTCTGCAGCGATGGCGGCCGGGGGCAGGTCCACGCGTGCCCGCCCTCTCCCCTCCGTGGCCCTGTCTCTGGGGCCCGAGCGGGCGGGTGGGCCTCGAACCCCTGGCTCTCGGTGACACGGCGCCTGCCCTCTGCCCCCGCTGCCGGGCGGCCCCTCCTACAACCGCGGCCGCGCGGGGGCGAGGACTCTCCGGAAACAACTCATCCTCGAGGGCCAGGCAGCGGCCTGGGGCCGGGTCAGGGCCACCTGGGTCAGAACCGCCGCCGGGGTCCAAGCTCAGGGAGGAGAGCGGGTTCAGCACCGCGGACAGCGCCGGGCGGGCCAGGGCTCGGCGAGAGTCGCCCGTGGACGCCCCCTTCCCAGGACCAGGGCGGCCCCCCTGGGCTGTGCCTTCTCCCCGGACGGACGGACGGACGAGGGGCCCTTAGCCGGTGCTGCCCCCCGCTCGCTGGGAAGCTGCCCCCCGCTCGTTCTCGTGGCCCCAAGTCCTCGCCAGCCCAGGCCTGCAGGTCCCCAGCGCTGTCCCCGCGCCGTGGGGGACCGGGGCCAGGCCCTGAGCGGCACCCCCATGCCCACACCCCGGCTCTCCCTCTTCAAAGAGGGCGAACCCCCGCTCTGAGCAGCCCCGCTGTCCCGGCAAACACGCTGGCTTCCTCCCTCAGAGGCGTCTGAGCCGGGGGATTAGCCCAAAGCCGCCGGAATCCCGGAGGCCGCGCCCAGCGCCGAGCGCCCGCTTTCAAAGGGGCACGCTGGCTTTCATCTCCCGAGCGGGCGCGGGGCGGGGGCGCGGGGTGCAGGGTGTGGGGTGCAGGGCTTGGGGTGCGGGGTGTGGGGTGCGGGGCTCGGGGTGTGGGATGTGGGGTGAGGGGTGCAGGGCTCGGGGTGTGGGATGTGGGGTGCGGGGCTCGGGGTGTGGGGTGCGGGGTGCAGGGTGCGAGATGCGGGGTGTGGGGTTGGGGCTCGGGTGTGGGGTGCGGGGTGCAGGGCTCCCGCTGCGGGAGCCGGGGTGCAGCCAGAACCCCAGCCTGGACCGGGGTCGGCCTCCAGAGCTGACCCCAGGGGAGGGGCTGGGGCGTGGGGGCCTGGACAGCTCCCTTCTCGGGGTCACCCTCGCAGAGGCCGAGGGGGGCCTGTCCTGACGCTCCTCCTCTCGGGGTGCAAGCTAAGACCCCCAGCCCGGGGGAGCCCCCTCCTGTTCCCTTAGTGAAACTCTCCAGACCCCAGGCACGGCCTCCGCCCGGGTCAGCTGAGTGGCTCAGGGACCTGCCGTTCTGACTCACCCCACACCCCCGGCACCCCCGTCCCCAGTGCCCTGAGGGGAGGGGGCGGGCTGGCGAGGGCCCTCACCATCCAGGACCCGGAGGAGCCCTGGGCTCTCAGCCCTGCTGCCCCCGCAGCCGGGCAGGTACTGTCCCCAGAGCGGCCTCCTCTGCCAGGGAGTCCTCCCAGATTCACACACGGAGGAGCGAGTCCCTGACGGAGCCTCCCACTGCCTCCTCCCCACCGCCCGTCTCTGAGCCTGGGGCAATAAGTGGGGGGCATTGTGGTGTGGGGCGCCGCCCGGGGACACCCCTCCCCCCCACCCCCCTGGGCGGAGCTGGGCCCCTCCGGTCCGGCCTCAGTCGCTTTATCACCCCCCTCTGCCAGCATCCCCTGCCCTGCCTCCCGGGCACCCCGACACTGGCCACCGAGCCCCTCACGGTGGGGGGGGGGGCAATCCTCCCTCCTACTCAGCCCAAACCTGCCCCCCTCGCTCCCCCCCCCCTCGTTCTGCTCCAGGAGCCAGACTGACTCCCCTGACCCCGCCCCACCCCTGGGCCCCCACCCAGAGGCACTGAGAGCTCGGACAGGCCTGCCCCTCCCGCCCCACGTCCAGGAGGCGGGGGCCCAGGCTGCGGGGAGCCGGGGGCCGTGCATTCCGGGACCGCGGGCTGTAATCAGCGCGCACCTCGCAATTACACGGCCAGGCTGCAATTACCGCCTCAGCCTCCGCCCCCGTGACTATCAGCGCCCCCCCCCCCCCCCCCGGGATTAATAATCGGGTAGGCACGGCTTCCTCCGCACACGGACCACCCGGCGCCGGCGCCCCCCACGGCCGCTCGGCTCTGCCCACCCCCGGGAGCCGGAGGCAGGGCCGTGGGCCGCGGGCAGAGGGCGGGCACGTGCCCAGAGGCAGCCAGACCCGAACCCTGAGCCCTGACCCTCGGCCGGGAGCCTCCTGCCCCTCCACCTCCATCCTGTGCGGGGTGCTCTGAGCCGACCCCGAAATTCCCGTGGGCGGCGTTGGTGCCCCCGCCCGGCTCTGTCCAGGGCTGGACATCAGGAGAGGCCCGGGCCCCCACCCCCGCCGCCCGGGGCCCCAGGGCGGTCCCCGCTCCCCACCGAGGCGAGAACAGGAGCCGGCCCGGCCGGCGGCTCAGTGATCGGGCGTCGACCTAGGAACCAGGAGGCCAGGGTTCGGTTCCGGTCGGGGCACAGGCCCGGGTTGTGGGCTCCCTCCCCCCTGGGGGGCGGGCGGGCGGCAGCCGGTCCGTGACTCTCTCATCCTGGATGTTCCTCTCCCTCCCCCTTCCTCTCTGACATCGGAGATGGGGTGACGCATGGCACACTGAGCAGGAGGGGGCGCAGGGCTGGGGGACGGCGGGACACACACTCACCGAGTACACACACACACACACACACACACTCACACACACACACACACACTCACACTCACACACACACACACTCACACACACACACACACACACCCGCTTACATACACACAGGACAGGAGGCACACACACACACACTCACACTCACACACACACACACACACACTCACACACACACACACACACACCCGCTTACATACACACAGGACAGGAGGCACACACACACACACTCACACTCACACACACACACACACACACTCACACACACACTCACACACACTCACACACACACACCCCCGCTTACATACACACACACACACACACACACACTCTCACACACACACACACACACCCGCTTACATACACACAGGACAGAAGGCACACACACACACACACTCACACACACACACTCACACACACACACACACACACACACCCGCTTACATACACACAGGACAGGAGGCACACACACACACACACACACACACACTCACACACACACACACACACACTCACACACACACACACACACTCACACACTCACACACTCACACACTCACACACACACACACACACACACACACACTCACACACTCTCACACACTCACACACTCTCACACACTCACGCCCCCGCGTGCGCCCGCCCTCACCTCGCTCTCCTCCTCGTTGTGCAGCCGCTCGGTGTAGGCGTCCGGCTTGCGGATCAGCGGGTCCACCAGCATCAGGAAGGCCATGTACAGCAGCAGCGCGCCCACCACCGACAGGTAGATGACGATGATCACCTGGGGGGGGCGCCGTGAGCACCGGCCTCCGCCGGCCACCGGGGGCCCCCAGGGCCCTGTGGGCAGAGCGCCCGGCCGCGGCGCCCCCCGGCCCAGGGCAGCCAGAGAGGCGAGGAGTCCGCGGGGCAGAGGAGGCCCCGCCCTCACTCTGTCTGAACCCCCGGGGGCAAGTGCCAGCACGGGGGTCAGGGCGCCCCCAGGGGGCAGCGTCCCCTCCATCGGGCGGGCTGGGACCGGCCTGAGGGGCCCCGCGGACGGAGTGGGTGCAGGAGCGAGAGGAAGGGGCGCCCCCGGACAGGGGTCCCAGGACGGCTGGTGGAGGGGCGGGCGGTGGGGCGGTCCCACGGGCCGGAACGCTCCGGAATGCGCCGGTCACCTTGATGGTGGTGGTGCTGCGCTCCTCGTACTGGCACTCGCACAGCAGGCAGTAGGCCTCCACGTCGTGCCCGGGCACCGGCATGGGCTCCACCACGTGCAGGCAGTTGCTGCAACAGACGCCGCGGCCGTCGGAGGGACCCCGCGGGGGCGGCCGCCCCGCGCCCCGCGCCCCGCGCCCGCGCCCCGCGCCCCGCGCCCCGCCCAGCTCACCAGTCCTTCTGCGACACGTTCTGCTTGTAGATGTGGCCGCTGACGTTGCGGTACGGCGGGCAGATGCACTTGCACCGAATGTCCTCAGAGCTCTGCGGGCGGGGCCGGCGTCAGGGGGCCACGACCCCGACTCTCCCCTCCCTGCAGGGCCCCACGACCCCGACTCTCCGCTCCCTGCAGGGCCCCACGACCCCGACTCTCCGCTCCCTGCAGGGGGGCCGGGCGCAGGGCCCCACGACCCCGACTCTCCGCTCCCTGCAGGGGGCCCGGGCGCAGGGCCCCACGACCCCGACTCTCCGCTCCCTGCAGGGCCCCCCGACCCCGACTCTCCGCTCCCTGCAGGGCCCCCACGACCCCGACTCTCCCCTCCCTGCAGGGCCCCCACGAACCCGACTCTCCCCTCCCTGCAGGGGGGCCTGGGCGCAGGGCCCCACGACCCCAACTCTCCGCTCCCTGCAGGGGGCCCGGGTGCAGGGCCCCCCACGACCCCGACTCTCCGCTCCCTGCAGGGGGGCCCGGGCGCAGGGCCCCCACGACCCCGACTCTCCGCTCCCTGCTCCCTCCGGGAGGCGGCACGCCAGGGGATGGGGTGTTCGCCCGCCCCACGTACCCGGATCAGGTCCCCCCCCCTGACCTCCACAGGGGGGCTGTCCCGGGGCAGAGGAGGCACCGAGAGCTGCCCCCTTTCCCCCCGGGCGGTCGCTGAAGGATCAGGGAGTCGGTGACCCCCACCCACACTTGTGTGTGCCCCTCGGTCCAGTCGCCCTGGGAGCTGGCCTCTCCCCCCCTTTAAGGAAAGGGTGAGGGGGGCAGAGTGGGTGGCTCCCATGGGGACAGGCGAGCTGCCCCTCTGAAGCCGTAAGGGACGAGGCCACAGGTACTCTCACCCCAGTCAGGGGTTCGCGAGGGGCCCCAAACCTGCGTTAAATTCCCGACCGAATGGCGGTCGGTCTTTCCCAGAAACATCTTAGTCCACCAATCAGGGGTTTGCCGGGCAGGTCACCTGCCACCTGGTCCCTCTCCGTCCCCCACCGAACAGAACACCTCCCCCTCCCCTCCCCCAAAGACATCCAGGCCCCCCAAAACCCATTTCCCCCATCCCCTTGTCAACAGCTCCCTTCCCCACCTTCTCCCCGTAAATCCTTCCTCCCTGTACCGCCTCCCCCAACCCCCCGCCCCAGCACCCTTTTGGCTGCTGGGTCCCTGCTGCCTGGTTTATGAATCACTTAGAGCCAACGAGCCCTGACCGGTGTGGCTCAGTGGATAGAGCGTCGGCCTGCGGGCTGAAGGGTCCCGGGTTCGATTCCGGCTAAGGGCGTGGACCTTGGTGGCAGGCACATCCCCGGTGTGGGGTGTGCAGGAGGCAGCTGATGGATGTTTCTCTCTCATCGATGTTTTTAACTCTCTCTCTCTCTTCCTCTCCATAAAAAATCAATAAAATATATATTTTTAAAAATCCAACGAGATCGCCTTGGCTGTACTTTGTACCATGTACCTTGGCTGCGGGCACATCCCCAGCAGGGAGTGTGCAGGAGGCAGCGGATCAAGGTTTCTCTCTCATGTTTCTAACTCTCTCTCCCTCCCCCTCCCTCTCTGTAAAAACCCCCCAATAAAATATTAAAAAACAACAACAAAAACCCTCCCCCTGGGGAGGACCTGACACCCAGAGGGCGTTGCTATAGTTACTAGACCCCCTAGGGGACCCCGGAGCCAAAGGAAAGTGTGGACAACTCAGGGTGTCCCCCCCCCCAACACACACACACAGAACCCCAGGCTGGAACCCACGCGTCCCCTCACCCCGAGGCCTGAGACCTGGCTCCTGAGGGGCACTCCCCCCCACCCCCCAGGCAGGGCCCCTGCAGGGGGCGGGCGGCGCCCTGTCCACAGCCCGTCCCCGTGCCCAGGCCCCGCCCTCACCTTGTTGGCTCGGACCCGGGGCGCCAGCAGGCAGCCGAGCGCCGCCACCACGCACAGGAGCTTCGCGCTGGCCATCCTGGGGCCGAGGCGGACACCTGCGGGAGGGGGGCCGGGGGTCAGCGGGGCCGGGGTCAGCGGGGCCGGGAGGGGGTGGGGGGAGACTGGGCGCCCGGGCCCCAGGGCCTCCTCGATCGACCAGGCGCCCAGGGCAGCGATCCCGCCCCCCACCAGCCTCGGGGAGCCCGGAGGAAAGAGGGGGCGCCCCGCAGCCCCCCCTGATCCCCTCCCGGCCCGCTGATCTCCGCCCCGCGGCCCCCCACCGCCTCGGGGAGCCCGGAGGAAAGAGGGGGCGCCCCGCAGCCCCCCTGATCCCCGCCCCGCGGCCCCCCACCGCCTCGGGGAGCCCGGAAGAAAGAGGGGGCGCCCCGCAGCCCCCCTGATCCCCTCCCGGACCCGCTGATCCCCGCCCCGCGGCCCCCACCGCCTCGGGGAGCCCGGAGGAAAGAGGGGGCGCCCCGCAGCCCCCCTGATCCCCTCCCGGACCCGCTGATCCCCGCCCCGCGGCCCCCCACCGCCTCGGCCCGATCAGGGCCCGATCAGAGACCTGGACGCAGAATCCGGGAGCCCTGACCGGTCGGCCAGGCCGGCGCCCTTCACACCCGAGCTCCGGGGTCACGCGGGGACCCCCCCGGCCGCCCCGATCGCGCACCCCTCCCCCCACGCCCGTCCGCTCCCCAGCGAACCCCCGCGGCGTGCGCGCGCGCGTGCGCGGGACCCAACCGGCCCCGCCCCTCCAGGCTCCTATTGGCCGCTGCCGCAGCCCGTCAGCCCGACCGCGCTGTCGCCCAGGCGACAGGGCCCGCCCTCACCGGGGCGCAGGCGCTCTGCGCAAGGGACCGGGTGGCAAGTTTCAACCCCGAGCGGACGCGAAAAGGGACCGTCCGGCTTTCCGAACGTGTAACGGTCCGGGTCCGAGAAGCCGCCGCGCTTCTCGGGGTTCAGAGAGGGGCGAGGGGGGCTCCGTGCTGCCATTTTCCAGAGAAAGCAGTTCGTACGGAAGGAGCAGGCAGCCACAGCGATATCAATAACGATGGGTTCAGGGGCTTTGTCCTCAAAAAATCGTGAAATGCCTCTTAGGGGCTGAGGGATGTGGGCCCGCAGACCTGGGAACCGTACAGCGTGCCTTTCGGCATGTCAGTGGCTGCGTGCGCGTGCTGAGAGACGAAAAAGGCTGAAAATCCTCCCCTTTGAGGTTTTTTTTTAAGCAGCTCGGAACCAGGCGACTGGGTAACATTTGGGGGGGGGGGGGTGTCAATGTCATTGTCATGAGCGGCCCGCACTGCCCTCTGGTGGCCACGGGAGACACGGCTCCGTGCTGCGTGGCTCACACCCACCCGGGGCCTCTCCCCAGGCTGACCGTTAGACCGAATACATCCTGCAGGGTCCGTGTTTTGGGGTTCTTTCTACGAAGAAGTTCCTGCCCTGGCTGGTGTGGCTCAGCGGATAGAACAGAACGTCCGCCTGCGGACGGAAGGGTCCCGGGTTCGATTCCCAGTCAGGGCACATGCCCGGGGTTGTGGGCTCTACCCCCAGGGTGGGGCAGACAAGAGACAGCCGCTCAATGGTTCTCTCTCCCCACAGATGTTTCTCTCTCTCTCCTCTCCCTCCCTCTCTGAAATCAATGAAAAATATATTTTAGCCCCCACTGGTGTGGCTCAGCGGATAGAGCGCCGGCCTGCGGACGGACGGGTCCCGGGTTCGATTCCGGTCAAGGGCATGGACCTTGGTTGTGGGCACATCCCCCAGTGGGGTGGGGTGGGGTGGGGGGCGCGTGCAGGAGGAAGCTGAATTGATGTCTCTCTCTCATTCATGTTTCTATCTCTCTATCCTCCCTTCCCCTTTGTAAAAAAAAAAAAAAAAATCAATAAAATATTCTTTTTAAAATAAAAAATACATTTAAAAAAATCCAAAAAGGGCCGTGGGTCCATGCACCTGACTCATTCGCACACCTGCCCCTCGGCACGAAAGGTCAGGATGCCTGCGCGGTCAGCCCCGCGGTCAGTCCCGCGGTGACCCGGGGGGCAGGGCCACCCAGGGGGTCCTCGCCCCCTCCGGCCCCCTCTCTCTCGCCCAGGGTCACACCGCGGGGCTCCGGGCGAGATGGGCGACGAGGCCCGGCCCTCCATCAGCTCCCATAGATCTCAGAGGTGAGAATCGCACCCCCTGCCCCCGCCCCCCCGCCCTGGGCGCTCACATGCTGACTGGTAGCACCTTGGACACTTGTCCGGGGCGCATGGCGAACATTCCAGCCGGGTTGAGAACAGGCTCCCCTGGAAGGCGGACAGGACAGGCGGGCGGGCGGCGTGTGAATCAACAAACAGGGTCAGGTGTCTACGACGTGCGAAGGGCCCGGAGGGGCCCCGGGCTCGTTAAGCAGAGAGGGAAAGGTGAGACGTTTGCCCGTGTCCCCTCAAAGGACAAATGGGGGGGGGCAGGGGGAGGTTAGCCAAGGGGGGCCGGCTGGCGAGGGGACCCCGCAGGCTCCCCGGGACCCACTCACGGGCAGACCTCACGGTCCGGCTGTCCGTCCGTCTCTGCCCGGCCACCCCCGCTCCCCGGTCCGGAGCCTCTGGGGGAGGCGGCGCCCCCAGACTGAGGACATGTCACCTGAGAAAGCGGGCGATTACCCCACCAGGCGACAGGCTTGTTGTAGGCAAACAGGGCCGGCTCACATTCCCTCCGGCGGGATTAACCCGGGAGAACCGTGGCCCAGGCCCAGGGCAGCGCCCTCCGGCCGCCGCTGCCCACCGCCCGCCGCCCGCAGGCTCCGGGGGAGGACCCCGGGGGCGGGGGACGGGCGCAGGGTCTCCTGGCCCTCTCGGGGTGCGGGTGCGGGGGTTTGAGATGGATCCCCTGGGGCACCCTGGGCGGCAGACCCTGGCCCCCCGCCCGGGCCTGGGCGAGAAGCAGAAGCTGCAGAAAGTGAGCCGGCATCCTGGCCACGGGCCCGCCCGGCGCCGGCACAGCCCTGAGGTCACCGCCGGCGTCCTCGCCAGCCACCCGGCCCTGCCCGCGGGTCCCAGGAGACCCGGCAGGCAGCGGCGTGGAGACACTAATCCCGTTCTCACACCCGCTCGCTTCACACTTACGTACCTCGCCCTGACTCCCAGCTGGCGGCTTAGGAGGCTTTCCGCCCTTGAGGAACAGAGCCTGGGGGGCCGGCTGGCCAGGGAGCTGCCACTTACCTGGCCTCACAGCCTCCCTCTGGGCCTCAGTCTTCCTACCCGGTCAATGGGTTGAAGGACACCCGATGCATCTCGCTGCACCTTGTCTGGAGTGCATGGTGAACAGGGAGGAAGGGGGAGGGATAGAGAGTTAGAAACATCGATGAGAGAGAAGCATCGACCAGCTGCCTCCTGCACACCCCCAACTGGGGATGTGCCGGCAACCAAGGCACATGCCCTTGACGGGAATCGAACCCGGGACCCTTCAGTCGCTGCCTTAGAAGGATCCACGGGAGGCCCCAGGGAGTGTTTGCAAAGTGGTCCAGAGGGAGAGCCTCCTTCCAGCTGGACCTCAGAGCCTTCTTGTTCACTTACCCAGGATGCAAAGGTCGTTTTCATTTATTATTATTATTTTAAAATATATTTTATTGATTTTTTTTTTTTTTTTTTTTTTTTTTTTTTTTTTTACAGAGAGGCAGGGAGAGGGAGAGAGAGTTAGAAACATCGATGAGAGAGAAACATCCATCAGCCGCCTCCTGCACATCCCCCACCGGGGATGGGCCTGCAACCAAGGTCCATGCCCTTGACCGGAATCGAACCTGGGACCCTTCAGTCCCCAGGCCGACGCTCTATCCACTGAGCCAAACCAGTTAGGGTGGTCATTTTGATTTATTTTTTTTAAAAATTGATTTCAGAGAGGAAGGGAGAGGGAGAGGGAGAGAGAAACATCCATGAGGAGAGAGAATCACGGATCGGCTGCCTCCTGCACGCCCCCATTGGGGACGGAGCCCCCAAACCGGGCCTGTGCCCCGGCCGGGAATGGAACCGTGACCTTCTGGTTCCTAGGTCGACGCTCAGCCCCGGAGCCACGCGGCCGGGACACAGCTCGCCCTTCCCACCCACCCCGGCAGCTGCCGGGGCTCAGCCTGCGACCGTTTCTAATCAGACTTCTCCTACCAAACCAACTGCCAGTCGCGGCCTGGGGGCGGCTGACGGAGTCTGGGGGGTGGGGGGTGAGGGTGCTGCAACCTCCCCTCCAGGGCCAGCTGTCCCCCTGCAGGGGGGCCTGTGACCTCGGAGCCAGTCCTCGGGGGCCACGCGGGAGCCGGCCGGGCGGCTGGGTCAGGCCCTGGCTCCCGAAGGTTGTGTTGACGGACATTAAAAACAGATTGCAAACAAATACATCATTCTCTTCGGATTCCTGGCCGGGTGCCTCTGACCTGGCCTCCTGGGGGCCCTGGAGACGGGGCTCCGTGTGCTCAGAAGCCTGGGCCCTGGCCTCCCGCCCCCGCCTCCCTCCCCGCGTCCCTCCTCGCCACGGGTGACTGCCCGGGGCCTGGCCGGCCTGTCCCGTGGCCCAGCGCCTCCTCTCCCCCGTGGTGTGTCTGGCGGGAGAGCTGACGGAGCAGTCACAGCCGGGGTGGCTATCCTCTGAGATCGGAGAAGCACTGCACGTCCCGTCCGCCAGGCCGCCGCCCCCCGCTCCCAGGACCTTCCACAGGGAGCTGTCTCTCCCGGGACCTCCGCCTGTGGGGGGGCGAGGAGCATGACCCCGAGACAGACGCCCTCTTGCCTGCTACAGGCCATGTGTTTGGGGTGCTCAGGTCACTGCCTGGGGGAGCCCATCCCCTGGCGGAACAGCCCGGGGTGAGGGAGGGAGAGAGAGAGGAGGGGTGGGTGTTGGGAGGACACTCAGAGGGAGGAGAGGGCCCTGGGGGGAGGGGGAGGAGCTTGCAGGGCTGTGTGAGTGGGGGAGGGACGGGGGAGGGACAGGGGGACAGACCAGGGCCCAAGCCTTGGCGACCACGGGTTGGGGGAGGGCAGGAGGCAGAAGGTGGAGAGGCCTGCCAC